TTAATGGTAATAGAAGAGGCAACAGATCCAAAAGATATTTGTCAGGCTGGAGTCTATCGCAGCATATTAATCTAGTTTTCTCTATGATACACTGGCATGCGTGTCTGCACGCGCACACCTACCCCTCCTTCACTCTCTGCGTATTGGTCATGTAGAAGACAGTAAGCTTCCAAGGGAGACAGAGAAGCAGTGGGCAGGAAGAAAGGAGGACAACAGGATGGGCAGTATTATGGAGGCCAAGTGGAGAGATACCAGAAGGAACAGGAATAGAAAACAGTTTAAGGCTGCTGAGATGTCAGGTAAGTTAAGGGCTGAAACATCTCTCTTGGTTTGGTTACTGTGGTGATTATGGGAGGCATCAGTAAGAGCGGTGGAGGGCTGAGGTTGGAAGCCAGTATACGGTCACTGAAGGAGAAACCTGGAGCTGAGGAAATAGTTCCAGCACATAGGGACAATGCTGTTGAGATATCTGACTTCAAGAAAGAGGCGAGAGAGAGAATGATAACTATAAGAACATAAGTTTGTGATGTGTGTGATGAGGAAAATGGACTAAAGTGAGAGAGATTTGAAGCAAAGGATCCAATGGAGGAGAGGCTGACTATAAAAAGGATCCCAAGAGGGCAGCAGGAAATGGGACTCAAAACACAGAAGGATCCCACATACGGGAGGACAGACTGTTCCTCTGTAGTAATAGGAGGAGGGGGTTTAGGCGCACGGATATAGGTGCAGGTAAATTATACATCTGAAGACAGAAAGACAAAGAGCTGCTGACTGGAAAATCTCATCGTCTTTGTGATTTCTAAGCTCTCTGATCAGCTTGAGGAGTAAAGGGAGGAGGAAAGAAGGGTTCTGAGATACGAGATGGATGGAGAAAGTGAAATAGCCATGAGAGACAGAAGAACGTGATGGAAGAACTTTCTTAGGATTGCTCAGTGATCAGTTCATCCCCTTTTAGCTTAGACTTTCCTGGTTTTAGCACTGAAAGTGTCCTCTCTGGATCTCCTCACTTCCAGGCAAACTGGGACATTTGGTTGCCTTTGTTGAAGAATCCATTTCTGGTCTGTGATCAAGATCTAGTAAGGCATCTACTAAGGTCTTACTGCTATCATTAAATAGAAAAGTCATTTACCAAAGCAACTTCTGGAATGAAAACTACTTCAGGAGTGGAAATCTAGGGGATAAAATTTAAGAGGGAACTGTAAAGTATTTAATCCTTGCTAATTTCTCCAATGTTATACATCAGTATCTGCCACTTACCATAAAATTTTTATAAAGTAAGACATTTGATTTTCTGTATATTCATGGTTGTGGTAATTTAGCAATAGTTGCTTAGGGTAATTATATATATTCACCCTAGTTATAATTTAATTCTAGTTTTTCCATTCAAAAGTCAAGCCTACTTTATATGGCTTCGGAGTATTATTTTTAGAAATTGATATTCATAGTAAAAGTTAATACTTTGAATTTTAATGTTCTCAATATTTCCAAACTATTTGACTTTAATGAATTTATCAGATTTAACTTTAATTTTAATTTTTAGAATTTCTGGCAGTACTTCTCTGGAAATTAAAATGTCAATTAAAATTTTAACTTCATTACTCATTCTCAGACTAAAACTTTTTTAAAGTCACAGTTTTTTTTTTAATATGGTTTCAAAACTGACATTATTAAGCCATAATTTTAGCTAAAGCTTTTAAACAGATTGGGCATTCTGCTTTTCTATTGTTCCTGGCTCAGCTGAAAGACCCCAAGTACAGGTAACGATGTCACTTCTGAAGGATCTGAAATTACTTTAAGTGCTATTCTAGAGATGTTATTTTGAGGACTTTCTCATTGTGTGTGTATCCCCCTGGTTCGGTCTGTAGAGCGTCCTACTACCCAAAGGAAGTTGACTGTGTGGAAAGAATACGATGTGTTCATTAAGGACAGGATTTAGTGGCCTCTGTTTTCATTCCAGCACCACTTCGTACCACCTCCATGATCTCAGGCAACTTGTATGGTATGTTGGAAGTTTAGTTTTCCTACTTATGAAGTGAAGATAATAATAACTAGTGTGTACTTAGTATTGTGGTGTCTCTTCGAAGAGTTACAGTACATAAAACATTTTAGTGGCCTGGCGTATAGGCAGTGTTTCACAAAAGACAACTTTTTACACTGCTTATTGGTGAACAGTTAAAAACTCCAAGCGAGTAGATTGGTGGTAACCAAAGAAGGGGGAGGTAGAAATAGACAGTTGTTCAACGGGTATAAAGTTTCAGTTCTGTGAAATGAATTAAGTTCCAGAGATCTGCTTACAACACAGTGCCTTGGTTAACAGTACTGGACTGTACACTGAAAATTTTGTTGAGTTTAAAAAAATACACTCTTCTATCAACAATAGAATAATAAGAATAACATTTATTATGTTCACTGTGGGCCAGGCACTAAATTCATTCATTTAAACCTTACAACAACTCTATGAGGTAAGATCTATCATTTATTATCTCATTTTTAGATGAGAAACAAAGGCAAGAAAATATTGCCTGCCTTGCTCAAGACTGTCTATCCAGCAGTCTCAAAGCTGGGCTTTGAATGCTCTTTCCTCTCCTGTGTTCTCCCCGTATGTTCTGTAGAGACTTTTCTTCCATTACCTGTAACACATTCTTGCCTCTAAGGTGGTTTCTGTGTTTGTCTCCCTGTCCTAGACGAACATGTCTGTGAAAACAGCAGTCCTTTTAAGACAAGTATATCTCTCCAGAACTTACAGTACAGAGACAATGGATACTAACTAAACGTTTGTGTTGGGAACTCTGTTCATTTTTCCTGTAACCCCCGCATCATGCCATTCTGTGTGTGTGTATTAGTATTCTGGTGTGAGTCCACGTGAATACCCCCAAGGTTGACATGGACAAGTTCTAACAAGAAATACAGGCAAATCATAGAATCATGTTTAGCACCAGGAATTCCTTCTCATGAACTAAAAGACTCTGGTTTAGATCACCTTCAGGTCCCACAAAATGAAGTCCAAAGTTATGGAACACTTTCTTCTCTTTTCCTCTCTCTGTTGCTTCCTAAGACTGAATGAAAAGAGGCCTGCTTTCCAGTAAGCACACAGACAAGAATTTGACAGGCTTGCTTCAAACCCACTATGTGAAACGAAGAGCTTCATGATCCCTGGCAGTTCCTACGCTTCCTAAGCCAGTTTCTTTGGTAATCATTTAAAAAATTAGTACTAATACCTTCACAGAGAGGTTGTGATCATCAGATGAGGTGATGTGAAGTGCTGAGTGTTAATGGCCCACAGAACGTACATGCTTAGTCAACACAATTACCATTACTACCATCATCATCATCATCATCATCATCATCATCCATCACTTTATCACTTCGAACTGCCATAGCCTGATCTCTCAGACACTGACCTTGCTAATAGTATATCCTTTGTTCTAGAAATGCATTCCACCACAGAGCTTTTGGGTAATCATGCCAGACAAATATTTTCATCCAGAATCTTTTGTTACTTGAAAATTTCCATCATGCCAACACTGAATTATTTAAACAGCCTGATTAGTTTAATACAGAATCTTCTGCTTCAAACCTAGCCTATTGCAAAGCTTTCTCTGTGGGTCACATGGCTTTCCCTGCAGAGTTGGAGCTTGGCAGTTTTGAGGGATGAACAAACGGGAGTCATTACAATTCTGCTTTGATGGACCTGACCTTCATTGGTGTGTGGGCCCAGAACCCCTGTGAATTCCGGCTCCTGAGGGGAAGAGCCATCGATCAGCCTAGGGGTGGACTCCTCCTCCTCCTCTTCAGCCTCCTCTGGCTGTGGGGGCGGGGTGAGGAGCTCTCTGTTCTCCAAAGGCATCACTGTCGCTATTTCAATCTGAAAAAGAAGCAGAATTTCCTCAGGCAGGCAGCCTTTTCCATCGCCCTCTGTATCAGGGACACAGATTTAAATTATATCTATCTTTGCCACAAGAGGCCGCTCGTGTTCCAAGCTAAACACAGTATGACGCGGCTTGCCTGGGAGGCCACATATGGTTCTAGTTAGTGTTGTTGTTTTTAATTAACTTTGTTTCTCAAATCTTAGTAATAGTTTCCAGTGCCTTTTTTCCCCCCTTTGGTCTTCTTGCTCTTTTAAACACTTTTATGTGTTTATGTCATAGGTTTAAAAAAATCTCATTTATTGTATTCTAAATACACAGCATTGCAAGAAGGCATTATTATTGTCAAAGATTCAAATTAATCCAGAAGTGTGCAGAGTGAAACCCAAAAACCCCCTTCACCCTGCAGCCAAAATTCAACTCTCCTTGAAGACAATAACCAATATGGAATTGATGCATATTTTCCAGTCCTTTTAATGCTTGGCTTTCTAGATTTAAATACTCTGTCCCTTTACAAAGACTTACAGGTCTCCAGCTGTCTTTTTAGTGAAAAAATATCCTTTACACTAAAATAAAATACATGGAACCGTGAAAACTACACAATTTGATTATGATACACCATTTCTCATGTATTTTCACTGTTATCTGAATAGCAAGTATTACCAGCAAGATTTGGGTATGTTAAAATTGACATTTTTGAGAGCTTTGACAATAGGAAACACTTTTATAGAATTGAAAAAAATACAGATTTTTTTCAGGGCTTTTGTTTTAGATTACACTTGCTTTTCTCTTCTTACTTGCATATTTTAAGCAATGAGCTGTTGCTTCTGAGAGCTCTGCATTTAGAAAAACCACATACTCTGAACTTCCTTCCCTCGTCTCAAAATCTATTCCTTTGTATCATTTAATAAACACCTACCTCCCTACACCTGCTTCCCTGACAACCTTTTGTAACCTTGGGCAGGAAATCTGCTTAAGACAATTGGTTGTCAGCATGCAAGAACCACGCTCTGGGGCCTAATTTCCTCATGGCATCTCAGAATTCCCCAGTTCTCCCATTATCCCCTTGATAGAGCTTCTGGATTCTTTCTACGTTCTTGACTTGCTTTCATTAAACAAGCAAAAAAAACACACAAATAACTCTAACTTATTTAATGTCAAAATGATATGTAAGCTATTACTTTCATGTAAAAACTAAATGCATAATTAAGTCAGATATTTTCTGAATATTTTAGATAGATGTCTTAAGATAACCGTAAGATTTGAAGACTTACAACTTAATGTCACATTGATAACATTTGAATACATGGCTTCACAAATGAAAGTTATCCTTTTAAAAAGGAGCGCTGAACTTTCTTTTGTCAGTTCACTTTGCTGACTTGTGTCTCCTTCCGTTTTCTAGTTTCTCCATTTCAGCCCTTCCTACGTTGTATGGTATTGGTTCCATCAGTTTTCTGCCAATACGAGCCTACTTGATGTACACCTTGAGTGATGCCTTTTATCTTTGTACCTCAAGGCTGTAGCGTAATAGGTGATCAACAAGCACTTCTTGAATGCAGTTTTAAAATTTGCTGTCCAAAATGCATCTAATTTGCAGCTCTAAGCTTAATTTTAGAGATTTTGCTAAGAAATACCAAAGAATATATTAGTGCCTACTTTAATGCATTTAAAGCATGAAAGCAAACCAAAAGCAAATTATATGTATTTGGTGCACTAGAAAGCCATCCATGAAGGTATTCTAAAACTTGTCCAGAAATCTCTGCTTCAGAAGATTGGGCACACTTCCTTAAACAGAAAGACATAAGGTTTCCATCTGCAGGGTCAGAAGGAGGCAGATTCATAAGGAATGGATTTGCAGAGACCAAAAGGAGGCTCCAGGAAGAGCGGAAATTGAGACAGATGTTTCATGAAATGGAGGCATCCTAAAGGGAGAAACACATTCCAGACACATTGCCTTGAATCTGTAGCTTTGTAGGAAAAACGTTTGCACATACTTCTTACAGATAATTGTTTTTCCACTGATTTGATGTGAAGCTGTAAGATCTCACTTGTTGTCAGTACAATGAGGCAAAACAGCTTTTGTATTTATAAAAACTGTTTTGTCCATGCTTACTTGCTAATAAAATGTGAATGTTGAACAACTTTTAAGACCAAGGAAAAGGAATGCCTTTTCAGTTCAGCAGAATTGCAGAACTGTAACCTCCAAGTCCTGTGCCTGGAGAGCCTTTGGCATTGCAGACACCTTTATTCTCACCATCAGATAAAAGTGATTTAGGCTTCTGTCTTCTTTCCCTCTTTAGCAATGTTCATACTGTGACATGAAGTTGTGAGGCAATGCGTGCAGAGAAACGAGGCCAGGGAAACGTGACCACCTGGCTCTCCATGCGGCAGACTTTTACGCTTATGCTGCAGAAACCTAAATTTGGGAGTGAACACAAGTGGCCAGAAAACATCCCTGCCATGCGTGCCCACCCCCTGCACCCATCCCCCTACCCCCGCTTCCTTAGGCTACAATTGGTAACACTTAAATGCAAATATAACTGAGCCTCTGATATAAATATTCACTCTTTTGGAGTTTTTCTCCATTCTTTTTCTTTTTACCTCCTTATTTTACTCTGACTTGCTCCCTGCTCAACTGAATTTTTAATCAGTTCATTATATTTCCATAAAGTTTAAAAACACAATGCGGGGTCAGTCCCACATATGACCTTGAGTTTTGTCACTGCTGCATTTGCTTTAGCTTGTTGACCTAGTACCAGCAGGGTACATCTTGGAGTTGGTTGGTTGTCTATGTGTAGTATCTTGCTTACTGGCCTTGGAACTGTAGATAACTGGTGCCATGGTAGATTGTGTTTAGAGCACCTTGCATGTCCATGAAGGAGGTACATCTCTACCAGAGATGCAAGTTCATAGCCTACAGAGTGATCTGGGTAGAGTCAGGTCTCAGCAGATGTCAGGCTGGAGAGATAATAGTGCCAAGAGGAGTCCTCAGCCTTGCCTCAGCCTCCACACCTGGCATGGCCTTCATTCCATGTAAACAACTCAACACCTCCACGCAGTCTCAGGAAAAGGGGGGCTGAAATGACCCTGAGATGTCCTAGACAAAATTTCTGCTTGCTGGAGAAATAAGAGCTCTTATAGAAAGTGGTTCAGTTGCATTTCTGGTACTAGATTCTGTGTACTCAGACTTTCATCGGTAATATTTACTTTGTTACTAACAATACTGCAAAAGATTTGAGACTCATTCTCCGATAATCAACAGAGTTGTCCATAGAAGAGTCTTTCTATAAAAGTACTCAGCACCATTTTAAGTGACAATAACGTTTGGTTAAAGATAATTTTAATCAAATCCATTTGTCCCTTAACAAAAAGGCACATCTAAGTGATCTATACAACCATATTACTGTCATTAATCCTGCTTAATTTATTTGTCTTAATTTCAGAGTGAAGGTATGAAAAATTAGTGTGTTCAGAAACAGCAGTCACACTTCTTCCTGGTTGTCTCATTTGCCACTGAAACCCTTCGGCAGAGACTTCTTGTTGAACATGCTGATATTATCTGTTCAGGATGGTCACAAACCATTTGCCGTTAAGCATTGTGTTTAAATTAATGAAACTTAATGTATTTTGGGTTTTGATGTTTTAATAATTTTTGATCTCTGCACTTAATCTGCACTAAGTTTCCAATGAGGAACTCAGTGAAAATGTAATATATATGTGATGGAAAGAATGCTGTGAAAGATTTCAGGTTACTCAGATTTGATGCCTACCATTATGAATGAATGAAAGGATCACTAACTGAATGAGTGAACTTATAAATTACATAAAGTTCGCCAGTCTTTATCTCATCAACCAGACTGAATATCTGAGCCAAGTATTACTTTTAAGTTATGATCAACTGTCCATTTTACCTGTCACTAATATTCTCTAAACATCTATCAATACCATGATTTTTCCTCCCTGTCTACTACCATCACCATAATCTAAGTTACTATGTTCTCTTGCCTAGAATGAAGAAATAGTCTACTTACAGGAAGCTGGGATCTCTTCTACTATATATTCACCCTGCAGTGAGAATAAACTCTTAAAATTGCAAAATTGGCCCTGTCCACTCCTGCTTAAAATCCCTCAGTGGCTTTTTGTTGCTCTTGGTAACCACAGGAGCGATGGCCTAGCAGAAGCACTGTCACATATTGATTAAGAGGAAGGGTCCAGCCTAGATGAGTTTGAATCTAGCCTAGCTGTGAGACCTTGGGCAGGTTATTTTACCTCCCTGAACATCTATTTGTAAAATCCTGATATAAATAGTATTATAAATAAATAGTGTTAGAAGGAGGACGTTAATACATGTGAAACTCCTAGAATAATGTCAGATACATAGTAAGTGCTATGGAAATGTTTGCTGTTATTATTAACATGAATGTAAAACTCTTTGACTCACAGAGTCCTGCATGGTTTGCCCTCCCAATGTCCCCTTCCTCCCTCTCCTGCCAGTTGTGCCCTTTGAGCACTGGCAGTCTTCAGTTCCTTATACTCTCTGTGCTCCTTCTTCTACAAGGACATTTGCATGCACCGGTCGTTCTGCCTGGAACTCCCTCCACTCCTCATCTCTTTTCCCTTATTTGATTTTTAACAGCTTTATTGAAACTATAATTGATACACAAAGAACCTCATATATTTAATGTGTACAATTTGGTAAGTTTGGACATATGCAAACATCTGTGATACCATCACCACATTCAGAATGATAGAGATAGCCAACACCTCCCCAAGTTTCTTGCAACTACTTATCTGTCTCTCATATCTAGTTCAAGTCTTACTTCCTCGAGGAAACATCTCATGATAAATGCAACTTAGACAAACATGTTTGGTGGCCCTCAGAACTTCGTATACTTCTATTGGCACATCCACCATTGAATTTCTGGTAGTTTTGTTTTTTAATTGTTGCAGTTATTCCCTTCCTTAGATCCTTTGCAACATGACTTTTCAACTCCTACAATCAAAAAGTAGATGCTAATTTCTTATTCCTTGAATTTTGAATTTAGACTGGCCTTCTGATTTGTTTTAGTCAACAGAATGTATTGATGTTGTGCCAGTTTTGAGGGTAGTTCTCCAAAAACATTGCAGGTTTTCATTTACTCCCTAGGAGCCCTTCGCAGTCATCATATAAACAAGCTGGCACTAGCCTGTTGAAAGAGCACACAGAGTAGAGGAAAGCCACATAAGCTGAGATCAATCTAGGCCAGCCAGCCCTGAACCAACCCAGCAGCTGGCTGAAGGTACATGAGTGTGAGCCCAGTGCAAACTGAAAGCATAACACAGCCCAAGTTGCTCAATTATGAAGTTGTGAACTAAATAAATGGGTGTTCTAAGCCACCAAAATTTGGTATTGTTTGTCACACAGTACAAGATAACTGGTACAGGTTTTTATGGTTTATATGTGAATATTGACTAAAATCTATTTTCCCATGAGGGTTAATACCATGTATCATATTGTTGTTTTTTTAATCATTATATTCCCAATGTACCTAGCAATTTGTAGGCCTCTTGATAAGTACTGTTGAATTAGTAAACAGTGGCATTTTTGATACTTTAAAGGTTTATTTTGAATATCAACATACTAAAAATACAAGAGAGCAAATGTAAAAGAGATTACAGTAATTAATGGCTCAGACATCTCCACATCTGCCAATGGACTTTCATTCACTGTAGGTGCAAACATATTGTGAAAGGAAATGAAAGAAAATGTGCTCTGAATTCACTTGATGACACTGGTTTTGAATCTGCTGCTGATCTAAGGGTGTTGGTTCTATATTTAAGGGAAAGTTGAAATTATATGCTCAGAATGAGAGCCACTGCATTGCAGAATTCCTAAAGGCACTATTCATTTGGTACTCTACGTAAATGATGCCACCTGGATTTTGGGACTGTAATGACCCTGCCTGAGTACGTGTTAGCTCTAAGAGGTCAATTAATAACCAGTCCTGAAAGTTTCCTCTACCTTTCTTCACATCTTCTTTTTCTCAAGTGTACTTCCTATAGTTTTTACTTAACACCTCAACTTAGGCAGAGATGGGAAACTTTACTAATCTTTTCTTTGTATGTGCAGTTGGGAAACAGGGCAGTACAGTAAAGCCCTGAAGGAAGAGAAATGTAAAAGCATGTATAGATACTGAGATCCTTGTTGACTCTTTGATGTTCATCCAAGAATGAAGATGTAATTGTTTCCATTGGAACAGGAAAAACTACAGATTTTTGTATATAAATAGGGTGAAGGATAGAGTCACAGTGAGGTCTCCAACCCAAGAAACTGAAGTTACTTTAGATTGTTCTTATGATGTAGGACTGATCTTAAAAATGCACAATGAAAAGAGGCCATTCCTCCCAAGCCCTTGGGAGCAGCTTCTTGACTCTTGATGATATTAGTGATGATAATATAGTTAAAGAAAGAAAAAGTAAACTGAAGAAGATTGTGGTCTAGAAAAATCAAATACAAGGAAGAATAGTATGTTATTGTAGCCAGCATTGTTTGGAGGAAGTATTACATTTGTTGAACATAAGTAATAGTCACTAAAGAGATCATTTCTGACATGGAGAGGAGAGGTTTTCCTGGATCTCGTCACGGGCTGGGTGAAAATAACTGGCATAGATAGAATACTCACTACATGTGAGAAACTTATGAGATTTTCATTGACTTGCATGTAATTTTCAGAACAACCTTCTGTAGAAGGTATAATAATTGTGTACATTTAATAGATTTGTAAACTGAGGATGGAAGCAGGGAGGGCTAAATAAATTGCTTGAGATCACACAGCTTCTATGTAGGAAGGCCAGGATTAGAATCTTACTAATACTGCCACAGAACAACACAACTTTCTTAACATTGAACCTGTACTCAGCCAAAAAAAAAAAAAATCTGAGAAAGGGGCTCTAGATCGAAAAAGTGAGCGTTATCATCACTGGAAATGACTTAATATTCACATTCATAAATGGACTTTCTTGTACATATTTTAAGCCTCATGATTTTTTCTTGGTGTCGTTCGTCAACCTACAGTCTGATTTGACCATGACTGATTACGTTAGTCAGCTGCTGAACCTGAAGGCTGAAGACCATATCAAGGCCATGTTGCCCTGTGGAAGTGCTTGGCAGTCATTCTGTTCCCTGAAATTGACACGTATTAAAAAAAAATCATATAACATTGATGTGGGTAGATTGTAAAATTCAAACAGCATTTATTACAATTTTTATTACTGTTGTGAGAAATAAATATTATGTAGAATTAAGCTTTAGCCAGGTTAAACATGATGGCTAAGACAATTTCATATATTCACCAAACTTTCATTTTCTTCTTGAGCATTCAGCTTAAATACATTTTCCACTTTCTTTGATTCTAGGTCGGGTCATGTGGATAGTTCTTGCCAACTGATTGGAAGAGGAAGTTTTGTGCAACATCTGGTCTAAATCAGCAAAGCGTAAGTACACTTTCTCCACATTCTTTCTCTTCAATCTGTCAACAGAAGATCTGCCATGACCTTGAAGTCCAAAGGTGAGGATGGTGATGTTCTAGCATAAAAGATATTTGAATCCCTGAATAACAACTTGGGAGACAGTAAACCTGTTGACCTGAACTGGGTATTCATGTCAGCAAGATATAAATTTTTACTGCATTAAGCCATTGGAATTTTGAATTGTTTGTTACAGCTGCTAATGTAAGTTGCCCTAATATAGACCTTTTCAATTTGTTTTCTTATCCATTTCCTAGTTATACCGATGGGACAATTTCTAATATTTTTGGAGTTGATTTATCTAGCATTGACATCATTGACATCGGGAAAAAAATACAAGCACATTTTTTGTCTATCCCCTCTAATTTCTTTTTTACAAACAACTGTTTTTTGATCTTGGTTGTTTGGTATAGTACTTACTGAAATATATTACTGCATTTAGTGAATTCACCATTATTTTAATTCATTTATTTTTTAAATCTCAGTATTTTATTAACTTAAGTCAAAATTAATAAATCTATATAATGAATGAGTATATGCAAGTCAAAATCAAAAGTAGTCAATGGCTTTTGTTTATATCAACATAGTCGTCATAATCATCATAGCATTTGATGTTGACTTGCTGGGATATTATTTCTGAAAACATGTACATGTTTTCTTTGTTTTTAAAAATCTATCGTAATTTATGGTTATTCTTCGTAGATCCATACCCCTAAATGGTAATGCTTCTTTGTATCCAATGCAATGTTTAAGTGTAAAATTCAATTTAAAAGAAACAAGAACTGGTGATCTGAAGATTTCATTTAATCATACCCTTTCTAGTCTGTGTCTCTTTTGGGACCTTAGCATTTTTTTTCTTTGTTCACATGTTTATTTTCTCATTTCCTTTTCTTGTTGTCAGAAAATGGCAATATTTCACTTTTACTTGCCAGAAAGATTTTTTACTTCAGTTTTATCCCAGTTTATTCAGGACTCATTCACCATCATCCCCTTAGGCTCCAGAAATTTAATAGGTGTCCAATATCTTACTTCTCACAAAATGTATTCTCTAACCCTAACTGAATGTCTCCAAATATTATTGGTAGGGAATTTTGGCAAAGGCTTTAGAAACACTATCTAATAGCAAAGTCAGTTCGTGTTCCCTTTCCCCTTACTGCCCCTGTTCCCCAAGTAAGGATGCCAGAAGGACAATTTAGTGTGGGTCGAAATCAGTAATCTCATGAGGATGGGAGGAGGTGGAGAGAGTCAATCACAGTAATTGAAAACAAAGAAGTTGGACTGAAAACCAAGATGCTTGGAACCTTTCAAACTCAGCTCTTTATTTTATGATGGAGTAATTCAGTATTTTTTTTTAAGTTTTAATCTTTCCCATCCTAACAAAGCAAATTGTTCCTTCTAACACAGACTTTATTGAGACACAAAGTATAATAAACTATGGCTTTTTAAAATTCTTATTTATTTATTTATTTTTAATTGAAGTACCATCAGTTATAATGTATCAATTTCTGATACACAGCACAATGTCCCAGTCATGCATGCACAAGCTGTGCCTTTTAATATGTAGAACTTCTGTGCATACAACTGCTGTGCACTCGTGATGATAGTGATGATGGTGATGATGATGACGGTGTGTATATTACCAGAGGGTAACTATAGTCATTTTAAATAGGAAAACATGTGCATTTACAGAGGATGTCCCACGGAGGAGCAGCTAATAGCCAACTGCCTTCAAAATAATTATTACACTAAATTTGTTTTCTGCTATTCAGTATCAGTGGTAAAATATTGCAAAATCTTACACAGTTAGAAGTTTGGCTTTATCTCTTAGGGTGAGAATCGCTTTAAACAAATTCAAAAAACTGTACTAAGCCAGAATGCTAACCTGAACCCTCTTATGGCCACCAATATGTTTTCTGTAGTCTCTGTAGCCTCACTTAGGGGCCTAATTATAATCGAAAGCTTGTTGGTGACTGTAGACCAGAACAAAGGCCCCCAGGTAAGTCAGCTCTGTAGCAGCATAAGGTGAAGAGAGGGCTGTCTTCCGTGGGTTCAGAATCTTTAAATTTGTTGTCTGTCGTAAGGCTTCACCGTCACCAGCATGACAAAAATCATCCTGCCAATAGGAGAAGGGGGCTGAGTAGTAGTTAACTGGCTGTGGCAGTATCTCACCCTGTGATCCTCCTTTTTAATCTCAGTACCAAAATGTGTGCATCTCCTCAGTCGCCATTCTATGTATGTTATAGATTCAACATAGTTAGTTATTAGGGTGGATTTTTATCTTAAATGTCCTGGATTTGATTTCTTTCATATTTATGTCTTTAATCAGAGTTTTGATATCACTACTCCAGAGAGAACACCCTTACAAAAACATTGATCCAGCCTCAATGTCTTTTAGATATATTTTATTTATTTTCTTCTTACATATGTTAAGAAATGGAGTATTTAATGTATGTTGGCATACATACCATTTACTGTATCAAAGCCCACATTGTTAGCAAAAATAACGGCATGATGTGACAGTGAGTATCCTTTGGGGCCCATCTATCTGCACCTCGTATAGTGTACACTGATATCACAAGCCAATTAATTGTACAACCTGGTGGATGACAACCTTACCAAGCAATAATTCTTGAATTATTTCGTGTGTGTGTGCGTGTGTGTGCGCGTGTGTGCGCGCGTGCGCGCCTAAACAAACACAACGTAAGCCTCTGTTCCTAGCAAACTCAAGACAAGGTTTACCGTACTTTGCCCTAGGAGTGTTAGAATGAGAAATTTGTGGAATTAGGGAAGTTCCAATGAAAATAAGGCATCTTAAAAAAAGGCTAGACAGGACAATAACAGGTCAAGTCCAAACCTGGGTTAGAAACTAATATGGTGGGAGAACATGTTCAAGGTTAGAAAATTCAAGGTAAAGATTTCCAAACACTTCTTTGAAGAATGTTACTTTTGTCAGATTTATAATTTATTGATTTTTAATGTCTCTATGGAAGATGCTACAAGAAAAAAATCTAGAAGACTATATCTGAAAAACAAAGGTCTGAACCAGAAAGAAAAGAGAAGGCTCTCATTAGCACAGTACTACAGAAGTAAAGGAACCAAATTAAAAAGCACATTAAACTGGTTAAACTAAAAATAGTAACAGACTCACACTGAAAAAATGGCTAAGGGAAGTCAAATACATGGGTCCTACCTGCAGAGATTCTCATTGTAATAGTCGGGGAGGGGGGGCTACGCATTAGGATGTTTTAAAATTCGAGAGGTGATTCAAATATATGGCCAAAGTTGAGAAACCACCATGCTAGAGGAGAAATTTGTTCTGCAGAATAGGACATAAGAGACAGAAATGTTAATTAAGTCCTGGAACTTTGATATGTTGAGTAAAGTCTGGATGAGAATACGGTAGAAGGATTGTTTTTTTACTAGCCTCCCAAGGGCCACAGGCTTCAGAAACAACAGAATCTTCAGTTTAGGAATCTGCTGAGTTCTCCAGCTGAAACAAAAAGCCTAAGAGGCAGGAACTCTCCGGGAGGCAGATTTCTTAAATTCCACAGCACAAGCAAGGGTAAAAGCCCCTGGGGCACATAGCTTCCAGGCTAGAGAAACACTAGGCTGAAAATCTTTGCTTACAAGAGAGCCTGTCACCTGACAGAACACACAGTCAAAGCAGCACCAGGTACCAGAAACCCAGGGCTTAGCAGGAAAATGGGAATTCAAGGGCTTTGCATTTGCATAAAGAAAAAGAAGCTTCAGGCAGACCTGGCGATTAGGCCTGCCGTCAGTCACCTGTGCTAGGAGACAGGCTATTTAAAAATTGTACAAGAAACAGAAATATCTCAAATGATACTCTGAGAAAAGAGACATTAAGTTTGGGGATGTTTCTAGTTCAGTGATGCTCTTACCATAGATACATCAGAGCGACCTGGAGGGTTTGTTAAATCACTGATGGATGGCAGGACCCCTTCTAGGGTTTCTGATTCCTGAGCCCTGGAGTGGGACCTGAGGTTTGCCTTCCTGACCAGCTCCTAAGTGATGCTGATGCTGCCAGTTCAGGATGACACTTTGAGAACAGCTCCTCTAATAGTGGTAAAAGAGTGCCATAATTTAACTCCAGGTGGGAGGTTTCTTCAAATTGTTTTTGAGCTCAAACTTTGCAGACTAGAGACAATGAGCATGAAATGACCAACATCTGGATGAAGTTAAACCAAGATTTCTTCTACCGTCTGACTTCTCAGGAACCATCAACTCTCTTCTTGGGGCTCCAGCAAGAGTATGGAGTAGTTGTGAGGAAGATACTTTTGCCTAGAATAACTTTTTTAGGGGCTCAGTATTAAATTTTTTTAGTGATTTCTTTTTTTTTATTAAAGTGTAGTTGATTTACAATGTCAGTTTCAGGTGTACAGCGAAAGTGATTCAGTTACACATATGCATCCACATATGTACATATATTTTCAGATTCTTTTCCATTACATTAGTACAAGAAACTGAATATAACTCCCTGTGCTATACAGCAGATACTTGTTGTTTACCTATTTTATATATAGTAATGCGTACCTGTTGGTACCAAATTCCTAATTTATCCCTCCCCTGCCCTTTCCCCTTTGGTAACTATAGTTTGTTTTGTTTTTTAAAATTTGATGTGGATTAGTGTCAATATTGTGATAATATTGTGTGTGCCATTAATGCTTCATGCTATTCAAGTATCAAGGTCATGGGAGACTGAATAACAATTTATGTGCCTCGGAGGGAACTATATCTGTATTTAGAAGCGGCCACTCAGATCATAGTTACTGAAAGAATCCAGCTTGATCCAAGCGTGAAGAATTTATCTAGTAGGGATGAAGCAAAAGGAATTGAGACAGGGGAGGTTTGGACTGCAAATTGTTTGGACTTTTAAATCACAAGGCAAGCAATTCTGATTTTGTACTGTAACCTCTTTGAATTTAAACAAGTGTAGACTTTGATGTACA